ATATATATATATATATATATATATATATATATATATTGTTAAAAAACACTATCTAATCATAATAATAGTAATAACTAGAGAATTTATTGCGTATCTGAATAAACACCCATAATAAAAATATAAATCAGTCAAAATCATTGTAACAGTATTATACTATGTGGGGGATGTCAACCGACGTCAAAGTTCAATTTGTAGCAATAATTGTGGTGACGTCAGTGCTCAAAGCTGTGACGTCACCTCACCTGTCGAGATAATGAAACGCCGCCGCGGCAACACCGCTTCTCTATTAATTATCACTTCACTACTCTCATCTTAGACCACACATGTTACCTGAAATTTGTTTCACGTTTAATTGACATCTACAGAATTAATTTTGAATAATTAAGTACATACTTTGCGATTTACGTTTGTTTTTGAGAAGTATTCAAACTACAAAATAATCGTGTATAATACTATTTTACCGCTTTTCAATTTGGAAAAAAACTAAAAAGACAAATTGAGTTGGCTGAAATGATTACTTGTGACTTTTTGAAGCAAAATAATTACATTAATTTTATTTACTACTTTCCTTTTGTGTTATCTTAGATTGGCATTTGATATCTTCTGAGAAATTCAATCAATACAAAGGAGAAACTGTCGGAATGCTTGAGAAGCCGTAACTTAATATTGCCAAAAGTCTACTCCCTAATATGTATCGACAGTTATGTCAAAAATTTCCCAGCGTTATACTTAACGTAGGCACGATCACTTTTATTTGACCGTAGAAATGCCAATGTATTTTCTGCCTCTTATGAAGTTAATATATTTATAAAAATATTATACCAAATTAATAAACTCATAATACATATCATTGTGATGATAACTTAGGCACTGTAAGTGAATGTACTTTTGATATTAAAATGTTAGGTTAGTAGTAATAATTATGTAAATTATTCAAACTTCCATGAGACATTTTCATAAACTTGTATAAAAACGACTAAAACACTCACGTATGTTCGTCCGGTGGCAGCACCTACATCCCATCGGGTGCATTACGGTTGTTTTAGCGGTTTTTATATTAGTTTTAGTCATAGGTCTACATATTTAAATAAATCTATTTATTCAAAAGCCTAAAGTTACTATGCTATAACCTACCGTATACTTTTAATATAGTTGCTCACACCAAAATCTCTGTATATAATATGTCGCCATCCCACTCATTATCTTTGAAAAACCTAGAGATACCATAATGTTTTAAACGGGGATTTTGATCTCGAAAACCCACTGTTAGAAGTAAATTAAATGAGTTGAAATATTACTTCAAGCACACGACGCATATCATCCACTCAGCCGGCGCAGCGCGGCGCGGCGCGGCGCGGCGCGGCTCGGTGTGAGGTAACGAGCACTTTTTGCAAATCCTTGCTTTTATGCGATGATTTCATTACCTAATATTGGAAGCAGCAGTGACAGGGCTGAGAGAATTAATTCATTCAACCCTGAATAAGTAATAACAACCCCATCCCA